GCGGCTTGCGACCAAAGCAACAAATCGCCGCCTCGATAGTTCCCACAGCCCCAGATCTGGCTGGCCAGCACGTTGTTCCCATCGGTATGCGGCTGCGTTTCGTTGTCCAGGTTCACCTGGACGGAGCGATGAAGAACGACGTACCAACGACCCTGCGGTGAAAAGAAAACAACACGACCCCGCGACTGGCACCGTCCCAGGTGGAAAAACATGAATGGAAGTTGCAAAGTATCTGTTTTTTGAAGGACATTGAGCCACCCAACAAAGAAAGAAGATGCAGTGTATTCAAGGAGCATCAGTCTGGGTTTACCCTCCATTGCGTGAACCCCACATGCTCCGAGACCGCGTTGCGTACAGTCAGTGCAGAGGGATTTGACAAGGAGATCTTGGTGCTCAGCCGGGTTTTCGCAAAACAGACCAAGACTTCAGACCCTTTTAAAGAAAGGATCTATAGGCTATAGGTGTGGAACAGGGACACCCCCGTAAGATCCCCTGGAAGAAGGGGATCTTAACCAAAACACCTTGGTTGGGACGTCTCAAGTGCCGAAGCAGCACGAATTCGGTAGTCTGGCAGACGCCAGGCGATTCGATAGAAGCCGGGGACCGGTAACTATACCAGCGTCTTTGGGTACGCATTGAGGTGAAAATGATCTATCTCTTGCGGAACAGGATCAGGCAATGCAATTGGTTCTACGTGTGTAGTATTGAAGCTCTGACTGACCTTCAATGCATACCTGACCTTCGTGGAAAAGGAATATCACATGATATCAGGCAGTTGGTGGGTCTCCATATTCCATTACAGGCTCCTAGGTCTTTTCCCGCGCATCACCCGGACACCGTGTAAACTGGCCTGCATGGAGGTGAAGGGGAACATCGGCCGGCTCTGCTGACAGAAGGTCGCTAGAAGCTTCGTGACGAAGGGGTAGTCCTTTGAGGCCTTCGTGAGCTCGACCTGGTTTCCTAAGGCCGCACGGTCGCGCGCAGGTACCCCGCGCAGTCTAAGCCTTTAAGACCAAAGCCTGGATGGCTCCATATAATCTCCACGTGATGTCGTACAGCCAACCCTGGTGATGTCAAGCGCCGTGACATGTGTGTGTGTGTGTGCGTGGCTTCTTTGAGGGGTGTCCTTTAAAAAGAAAACCAACCCACTCTGGCAAAGGTACGCATATTTTGAGAGCATTGGATGGATGATCTCCACAAGTGACTATGGGGGAAAGTAAACAACGTGCACGCATCTGCGACCCATCTTGATTCTGCGCTCATCAGCGCTTTGGCTTTCGATCCGCAGCGGAAAGTCTGGAGTACCCAGAGCAAGAGCGAGGTGCACGCCAGAGGGGTGCAAAGAACCTCTGCACTACGTCCAGCCTCCTCCTCCTCCTCCTGCTGCTGCTGCTGCTGATGCTGCTGCTGCTGCCCCCACTACTACTACTACGAAATACTAAAGAACTGCTTTGTCTAGGATAAATAATCAGAAAAAGACCCGCAGCATCGCCCGTTCACCTCCGAGTGTCCTCGGACGAAGAGCCCCAGCACCATGCCTTTGACGCTGTCCGCGCCTGGCGCCAGGTGGCAGCTTGATAGGCTTCAGCAAGACCGGTCGGAAGCACACTTGCGTTCAACACCAAATTGAAGTCAAGACTCAAAAATCTACGAAATTGAAGTCAAGACTCAAAAATCTAAGTGGGGGATGTGCTTCGACCCTAGTTGTGGGCATCTACTGAGAACTCAGCTCTCAAAAAGTCCTTTGCACTTGTGCCACATCTTGCTCTCCCAGTCTTTGCATACCTCTTTTCGCACCAAAATCTATTCATCACAATGTCCGGGTCTTGCGAATCGTCCAATTCGCATCGTACCCTGTGGTTCTGACGGCAACAACATACAATTAGGAGGCTGCAGGACCAAGCGCAAATCTCTCCTTCGCTTCTCGGTGGAGTGGTGCGTGTCCATCCATGTCTTTCCAATTCAATAAAACGGATATACCTATTAAGTATTTTGGCATCAGGCATGATGGCCCAATCGATCCAATTACCCAACCCGCACAGTTGTTGGAAGCGATTTGTCTCAAAACCGGGCGGAATCTTCCAACATCCCTGGTAGGAGAAGCGGATCGGTGTCCCGGGGTCTTGTTGGGTCTTGTTCAAGAACAAAGCCCCTCGAAGAGGGGGGTGCCCCCAACAATAAAATAGACCACCCCAAACCAAAAGCACCGATTATACCGATTAGTCTAATCTTTTTTGTGCGCATCCCTTCTCCGTCTTTGTCAGAAAGTTGTCGGGAGCCTTTCGTTCATCGACCGGGCACCCGCCCCATCAACAAAAAGGATTGAGAAATCGCACGAACGGTGGGCGGCTTCACCTTCGGGCATGACCTTCTTCCGGCTCGACGAGCTCCGCATTCGGATGAGGCCCAGCACCTCTCGGACGCCAAAGCCGCTGCAATTCGGAGCGATTTCGGGAGCGCCAAAGGTGATTGTGTGAAATCCATTTGACGTTTTTCACGGTGAGTTGATAGGAAGGTGTCTGAAATCGATCCAGGAAGCGGAAAGGACAAGAAGATGTTGGGACATCTAATCTGCAAAGAATTCATCTGTCTTTGCTGGCACATCTTTAAGTTGGAATCTTCGACGCATTTCCAGTATGAGCGGTAGGTGGGACGTCCTGGGTGTCGACCGAGTTCCCCCATTTGTCGTCCGTGCAGTTTGGCGACCGTTCAGGGCATAAGGGATACGAAGTGTTTTCAGAGGAAGCGGGGGTTCACCCCTGCAGATGACCATAGACCCTTTGAGACCTGAACCGTGGAAGACCATGGTACACCCTGTGCAAGCCATTGGTTTTGGGGGTCTATGCCCCGCAGCGTCAAGAAATGCTGGATGAGGTGGTGGCTGAGGGTGAGATCTCTCCAGAAACCCCAAATCGTCCTCCATGAACACAGTGCGCGCTATTTCCACTGTCCGAATTCCCCACACCCCAGCGATCTAGGCCCAAGCAATCATTCAAGAATGAGTGCAAGTTCAACAGAAAGACTTGGGATTGCTCAATTCCGCCAACTCCCCACAGCATGTCTGGGTCCAGTCTTCCAGTCTTCATATTTGCTTCGGCAAACCTTTGGAGGCTTGGCTGAACCAAAACCGGAAAGGAATCGTCGGTGTTTCTGGGGGATGAAGCACCGGTGCGGTGGAATTTCTTGGTGCAGCGATCCCAGGACCTGAAGTTGATGCTGGAAAAAAGTTAAAGATTACTTTTTGGGCCCCCGTGATTGACTCGCGTGGCCGAAATGGGTGCAACCCTCTTCCAATCAGAAAGAGTCATCAACTGTGGAATGCTTGATGAAAAGCTTCTAGGACTTCCAGTGGTCCAGCTACCTGCTATGTATAGAGCTTTCGAGCATCCTGGATCTTCCCATCACCACTTCCTATAGCACCCCATGTAATCACTGCCTGCTGTACAATCGATGGCGTAATGTTGTTTGCATGGAGTGCATCTCTAGCCAGCTCCTCTGCATTGGCTCTTAGCCCCATTGTCGCCATCGCCATGGCAAGCAAGTTGTGCTCGAAAGGACTGCAGTGCAGTGAGATTCATAGAGGATCTGTGATCCTTTAGATGAATCCTGTAGATGTGAAAGGTCATTTTGAGGTGTGGGAAGCAGTTACGACCATGTACAAACAGGAAGCCCGTTTCTGGGCTGGTTGAAAGTTTGGACTGCTTGCAAGCCACAAGCTTGAAAAGATCTGCTATATAAGACTGTGCAAAGAACTTCTTATGGACCTTCAATCTCCGACTCTTCTGTCAGGATTTTTGAGACGTATGTCTTTGTGTTGGCTAGGCTAGACCCTTGTTTACTCTGCTTGCACTGTGTAGAAAGCATGTACCATTGGAATTCTGCGCAAACATGCAGACGAAGCGCGAGATTTTGCTGCACAACGACATGGAATCATGGAAGCTCACCGTGTCTCGTGTCTCATTGGAAGTGTTTTTCTTTGGGGAGAGAGAATCATGTGGAGGCAGATGTAAAATCTGCCTTTGGTCCCAGGAATGCCCCCGTCATCAAGGGGGGTTCACAAACTTCATTCAAAGACCTCTAACTGAAATTTCCTCGCAAAAACTTCGAGCGCGTCTTGCCAAAACATGCTCGCAAGAAGCTGGGCGTGTTCTGCCATCGATTGTGGACGTTCTTGGCCAATTCTGAGAATGGCAAAGAAGGGCAGGATCTCGAAATCAACAAGCCCATTTCGGGCTGGGCAAAGTCTGATGGAAAAAGATGATAGAAAGATGGTGGGTTTCCTGAAATGGTCTTCTAGGTGTTCCCGACGAAAAGTCCAAACCCTCGACAGATGGCCCGTTGCATTCGAGAACGGTGCTCCAAGAGGTTGTGAAAAAGAAAGCAAGGGCCTCCCCGGAAGAATCATGGAAAGGCCAGGCATTTCCTCTACAATCTACAAACAAGGAGTTTTCCACTTCCATGATGATTTCAGGGAACATGTTCTTGTTCACCGTTTTGGAGTGCTTGATTCAGCCACTGAGCCAATCTGAGCCACTGGTCGAAGTGCCAGGCAAAGCACTCTTAACAAATGTGGCCATCGCTGCTTCCTCGCTCGTCTGAAAAACATGTGTTGAATAATATGTACAGTGTACAGTAACTCAGTATGTATACTCCTAGATGGCTTAAGGAACTGTTTCTTATCATCAAATTTACGATAAATAGAAAATCCCTCAACTCTCGGTCCACATCACATAGATATAAACCCACACAAGCTAGCTACTCAGCTATTCACAATACGGTGCAGTTCCTCTTTTGCACCACCAACAGCCACCAAGCTACATCCCTCTAAACCCTCAAGCCCTTCGCGACAGGCCATCCTTGATGGGAATTTCAGTGGGTTCTAGACCACTATATATTGACAAATATGACAGTCCCAAAGAGATCCGCGAGTCCGTGATTTCCCCTTGGTTTCCAAAGTGTATTGAAGATCTGTTTTCCAATCAGTAGGAGACCTCCTCTTTCTAATTCCTTCGACACTGTCGCACCAACTCTGCCTGCTTGGTGGCACTCTGCCGAAGCTCCTTGTGGATGGGCCACTCGTCCGGGCTCCAGGTGTCAAACCTCAGCGCGTTGGTTCCCGCACTGGTTTGGGGAGACCCAAACTTGGTTGCATCGAACGCGTGTTCGAACACCCCGCTTCTCCAAAGGAAACCGGGATGAAAGAACATCGTGGTAAACCACTTGGGTCGCGGGATCGGAGTAAAAACCACTCTGGGCGCATGACAAATACCTTGCCATGCCTTGTCATGCTATAGTTAGAGTGAAAGTACCAAACGAGTGTCCGTGTGGGTTTCGTGGAGAGAAATGTCTTCTCGGATGGTCCAAGAGTGTCTTGCACCATCTCCAAGCTGCGCATCTTCACAGGAGGCCTGCAAGTTCATGGCCGGCGCCACGGTCGCGTAGACGCCTCAAGCCCCGGTCGCACAGCATGCACACCGGAAAAACCGAACATGAGTCAACGACCCGGCAAACTGGAGGCTCTCAACCCCTGTTCTCCCAGAAACCGAATAGCGATGGCCTCCACCCTAGTAGCGATGGCCTCCAACATGACACAAGTTCGTGTGGTTGGTGGGTGTTCTCGCCGGCCCGACTGGAGCCCCTATCGGATGTAGCTCACTGGAGCATCTGCCGAGGCTTTGACTCTGCTTGTCTCAAAGAGGAGGCTTGTCACTAGGGAACACTGGGTGTCTCAAGAGGTTGAATCACAACTTCTCCTTCTTTGTCACAACTGCTTTGTGGCGTAAGATCCAGCCATGGCTTGGCGGAAATCAGCTGGAACCGATTGATTTCCGCAGAAAACCGCACCATGCTGCGGGGCTGTGGAGTTTGTTGATCACCTGCACCATCTGCAGGCCTAACCACCATCTCATACCTGCAATCTGGGCATGAATTCATGACAACATCTTCCCAGAAAGGGTTGAATTGCAGGTGAGTTCTGGTATAACAATAATCCAAACAAAAGTAGGAACCATATGCATTGCAACAGAACGTTTGAGGACACATCTCACCTCCGCTTCTGGTTTTTCCAATCTCCATCTTCTCCGCTCTGTTTCTTCATGGCCGATCTTGTCCGTGCGGAATCAAACTGCTAATCCCAACCTATGCGGGAATTGAGAGAGCCTCCAATCATGTCAGACTAAAGTACCAAGTGGTTGACATTCACTTTCAAGATTTTGCAAGTCAGCACTCTCGAGTCGCCATGCAGACTCTCTCCTTGCGGAAACCACTCTCGAGAGCCGAGAGTAACGTCCCAAAACAGAACTGGGCCGGAAAGCCTGCCTGCTCGGCGCAAACGTGCAAGAACTTACAGAAGGAAGGAACGGTCTGAAAGTCTTTCCTTTGGCATCGAACGTGCTGCACTCCGAGCGTTCGGCGTGCAGCACGCATCGATCGTGGTTTCAACACAACAAGTGAGCTGAACGCCAACGGACAGCATGTCCAATTATGTCGTTTTGATGCATACAGACTCTAGAGTTTGGTTGGAGTGTTTGAGGGTTTTAAGTAATCCAAAAGCCTTAAAAACAAGGGGTCTGCCCAGCAAACAATCTGATGATTGATTCATTGATCTGCATCATTCGCACAGCTAAACTTCTGTGAAGCCTCCCAGATTGAGGACTTCACATGCGAACAATCCGATGCGATCTTCACTTCTGCTAAAAACACCAAGCACCAAAAGCACCAAATCCTCTTCTTCGCGACCTTGCAGACCTTTCAGACTTTCGACCTTTCTCATCGCTCCGATGCGTGCAGTACCAGCTCTCGCTCTTCTCCCAGCTCTTCAGCCCCTGATGCCGCGGATGGTCCCCGTGCAGATTCGGTGGTCGGTCTAAGCTCAATGGGGCGAAGATCCGGGCGGAGACTGCGAGGAGAAACGAAAGGGTCGCACCAATGGTGCGTCCATGTTCGTTGCTTTTGGACCTGAAGAAGGTTAACACCCAGGACTTCGCCAAAGCTTACCAATTCGCAAGGGTACCAACATTGCCAGTTTTGTTGACAGCCTCTAATCTCCCGCTTCCAACCCACAAAGTCCAGTCCCTGCACCAGTCGGCCATTGATCAACTGCACATGTGCCATTGATCAAGTCCGTCCCAGCACTCCCGACCATCCCACCCAGGCGGTCCGGCCGGGCTCTCGACGGACAGCATCACCTTGCTGCAGCGTGGCCCAAGTGCCCAGCAGGCAGATGGCCCCGAAGATCGGACAGCTGATGAAGGCGGGCAAGGTGCCACAGTAGGGCGCCACGACTCCGCCCAGCCGAGCCGTGATCTCGCCTTAGGGACAGGGAACGAAGGAGGCAGCACAGCATATGACATCAGGAACCGGGGGGTCAGACGTATGCTTTTAGAGGTCCAAAAGGAGAAGAAGTGAATCAGGTGGTGAATCAAATGGCAGTTGCATGTGAATGTAGGTCCAACGAGTGAAACCGAAGCCCAGCCATCCCGGCTTGATCCGAAGCATGGTCAGAATCTTGGACGCCCATCCGAATCATCTTAGCTAGCTACCACACGCAGAACAGCGGCCAGAGCGCGAGTTGGCTGGGTGAAGTATCAAAAAAACTATTTACTGCATCAAAAAATACTATTCGAGGGGATCAATTAAAAACTTATTACTTAATCAAAAATATATATTCTGCCACGAGCTCTCTAGGATAGAGCAGGTTTCTTATTAGTACCTAGCTAATTACCGCAATTTCGTGTCCTTAGCAGAGACACAGGTGTCGTAGCTGGCCCAATACATTAGAATAGTGCAGGCTTCATATTAGTTGCTAGTTGATTAGACTAATTCGGGAGCTGTCGTAGCTGGCAAAATACATTGTAATAGTGTAGGTGCGAGAGAAATTCCTACCTATCACAATAGTTTGGTGCAGTTAGCAGAGAAACCGCAAAGAACTAGCACAGGAGGCGTATTTGGTTGGTTAGAAGTTTTTGCACCGGGGAGTTCACCTTAAAATATTGATTTCGTGGCAGGCGCGGGTGTCGGAGATGAAGTGCAGATTTCGTGGCGCGGGGGGGGTTGGGGGGGCGCAGCGCCACCCCCAGCAGCACACCAGATCCAAAGGTGAGCAGCTCGTGCTTGCTTGCTTGCTTTCTTGTTTGGTTTCTTCTCTGCAAAGCAAACAAATGGAAAAAGCAAAAACAAAAAGAGAAAGGAGAACAGCTGCCAAAGCAGAAAAGCAACAAAAGCAAAGAGCAGAAAGACAAAAGCACAAAAAGCAGAAAAGCAACAAAAGCACAAAAAGCAGCAGAAGCAGAAAAGCAGCAAAAGCAGAAAAGCCACAAAATCAAAAAAACGCAGAAGCAGAAAAACAACAAAAGCAAAAAAACAGCAAAGTCAGAATCAAAAAATACAAAAAACAATCCCAAAAAGAAACGCACCTCCATTAACATGGTTGATGGTTCTTTTGCTTATTGTTGTTTAATTCTATTCTTCATTTTCCTTGTGGTCCTTCCTTTGTTACGTTGTTTCTTCCTGCCTTCTTCTGTCCGTGCTTCCTTGCCTCCTGGCTGCCTTGCTTCCATCCTTCCTGCCTTCCTCACTTCCTACCTTGATTCCTTCTTTCCTTCCTTCCCTTCCCTTCGACCAGGGGACCAGGGACCAAGGGGACCAGGGGACCAAGGGGACCAGGGGACCAAGGGGACCAGGACGACCATGTGGACCAAGGAGCCAGCATACAAGAGAGGGGAAAGGAAAATAGTTGCTTTTTGATTAGTTAATTAATTTGCTTTTGCTTATGTATTTTTTTTTGATTCAGTAATTAATTTCTTTTTGATACACATGCCGAGTTGGCTTGCGCGTTCGCAGGTCTGGCAAGCGAGTCTATGTCACAACACCGGACAGTCGCTCCGAAAGAGGCGAAGCGCCTCTGTTTGACGATCCTCGAAAAAGCCATAATTGCAGTGAGGTTGGTGGTTCGCTGTGGTCTGGTGCTTCAAGATGATGGCCGAGGTCTTCCAGCCGAAAATCTTTGGTAGCGCCGAGCTGCAGGCTGGGAGGACCTTCTTCTGAGCTGACTCGGAGAAGATCTCCACCAAGCCCACGTAGACCTCAGTTTCATAGATCGCCCGCACCAGCTCCGGAGCTCGACATGTTTGTCGGAGCATCGCTCTACTCCTTCACGGCGAACTGTATGGCCCCGATGCTCAGGGTCCAAAGATAGAACTCAAGAACAAGGCACTTCCTGGTTCAGGGAACCTTCTTCCACATGATGTGCTTCTTCCTATACTATCGAGGTTATATATGGTATATATGACCCGCACCCGGGCGATCCGGCCGCCCAACGGAGCACCGGGAGGGCCGAGGAGTTCGGGAGGGAGCATCCATGGTTTGTAGGTGGAAAAGGATCTTGGGGGAGTCATGGCATCACAAACAGATGTGCACAATGGAAATGAACAGCAAACATCATGATGAAATGAAGAGATTCTGATCATCGTGTGGTTTTTACTTGGCATTCACTATGAAGTTTATGTAGCTGCACTCCTCTTAAAAGTCACAAACAAAATACAAAGAACACCACAGTTTCAGTTTCAGTGAGTTGAAATGTCCTTGTCACTTCGTTTTTGCAAGGCAATATCTTGCAGGGCAGCCCAACAAATACTTTTATGTAGTTGAGAAGAGACATTGGCAAAAACAAAAAATGTCATTTCGCAGGGCGATTCGTTGCTTCAGCCAAATTGGCTTACAAAGGCTTTAAACAACAATTCCAGATGGAAACGACAACTTGGACCAACTAATTGGCTTGCGACCAAACCACAAGGTTTTTGCTCTGTGTGATCTTCCTCCAAACCAAAAAACACCTTGCCCATCCACACCTAAGGACAGCACACCCATCACTTCGGGACCACACCGCGTCGCGGAGGGCGTCAAACGCCGTGCCCGGTCGGGCGGCTAAGGTGAAGCACGCATCCAAGCAGAGGCGGCCCAGAACCGCAAACGAGATGACGAACGAGCTTCCACGCTCTCCTGTGCTGCAAAGGAAGAGACCTGGGAGCGGAGAAAGTGTGCAGAAAATGCATACCAAACACTGTACTATATATTATATGTATAATTTAGTATGTATATATATGATATATGGATATAAGCTTCTTGTTACTAGTAGTGATGGCCTCCGAATAGCAATGGCCTCCACCTACTAGCTTCTTACAAAAATGTCCGTCGTGCATGTCGCGCTGTCTCGACTTTTTGGCCAAGTGGACCAGGTCTCCGGGACCCAAATTCGGACGCTTCGGCAAGACACAAAGCGCCGCCAAGAAGAAGCCACCCGCCTGGACCCGGCTGCGACCCCAGGAATTGGCGCCTCAGAGTGGGGGAGCTGGGTGGAGTTTGGTGGAGTTTAGGTCCCAGAAGTGGATTTTCCACCAGAAAATCTACAGGAATTCCTCAGCATCTAAAGGATTGATGGAGTTCATG